TGGCCTGGCCAGACAGGTAATACCTCAAGAAGAGGCCGCGGATCGGGTGTTGGACACCTCGGCTCATGTCCATCATGTCCTTCATCAATTCCTTGACGGGCGCATCGGGGATGGACATATAGGCGGTGCCGACGGTGATCATGAGATACATGCGCGGGATGATGTTTCCAGCATACTGGACGAGTTCGTAGAGGTCGGCGAGGTGGTTGACAGGGTGGTTCTCGCGGAGGTGGACTGACAGGTAGCGCAGGGCGTCGAAGACGGCCATGTAGAGTTCGTAGTACTGCTTCGGACCCAGACTGCTCGTGCGCAACTCGGAAACGAGAGTCGAGCTATGCGCAAAGAAAGAGACGGTCAGCATTGGCCATTCAAGAGCATCGCGAGTGGGAGCAGAGCTCCGGTCGAGCTCCCGGGGATCCGGTGATTGGGGATGACGTACCAGCACTTCAAAGCATCCATCAGCTTGCTTGGAGTGTCGAGGCACTTTCGCATGAGGGCGGTCTGCTGGCGCACTGCGACTAGGGCATCCTCGAGGAGGCGTGCCTGGTCCTCAGGCGGAACGGGAGTCGCAGACATGTCGAGGTCGAACCGGCGGGGTAGCTATCGAGGCGACGTAGGGGGTTTGGAATTAGTTCATGGAGGAAGAAGCAACGAGGGCCTCGGAGGTACGGTAGGCGACGGCAATGGGGATCGAGGCAATTGCGCGGCTGGGATTGGGTGGCGCAAGCTGATGGTGCGTCGTTTGGCGCGGCTGGGGATGGTGGAGGACGTCGGCGGATTGAAGGGCAGAGGTGACGACGAGTTATCGCGAGAGTTGGCTGCTTGTGCTTGGCTGCTGGCTGAGGTGCTTGCCTGGGAGAGGCAGATGAGGTAAGGTCGGGCTGTGCAGGCGCTGCGGCGCTGCTCGTGCTGCTGTTGCTTGGGTAGGTAACTAGGTACGGGTAGGTACCTATGCTGTGCCTGCTATGGCCTGTGAATGTGGCACACAGCTCTGTCCAGCTCGGTGTCAGCGCTGTGACTGTCGGATTATCGGCCTGCCTAAGTGCGAGATTATGTAATGCCGGGATCCACCGACAGGAGAAGGCCTTACGTAAGGAGACACCCGGCGATTCCTTACATAAGACCATTCATCCTGCACGTGATTGTCATGCTGCCAAGGCGGGGCACTCGCCGGAAGGAGGAGCTGTGACAGACCTGCGCTATCAAGGTCCACACTCGAATCCCCGGCTCGACACCCATGTCAACCCATCCCATCTCTCCAACTCCAGCCCACGCAGCCGCCCCAGCTCCAGCGTATCCTCCAGCCTGCTTTAGCCTCGTCTGGTCTCACTCATAAGCTGCTTCACGGTCCAAGGGTCTCGCTGGGAGACACGAGATAATTCAAACCTCGTGACGGAGTCATTCAAAATCTAACACGCAAGCTACCCTGCGCTAACTGCCTACCTAGGTTCCGAATGCCCTCGGAACGGAACACCTTGGGTTTCGTTACTCGTTGCATTGCGCTGCGCTTTTGCTCTGCCTGCAGCTAGGTACCCAAGACCAAACGCCCACAAACGCCAGCCAGATTCATTTGTTCTTCTCCGCGTTCTCTCCAATTATTCTCCCCCCAGCCCACCATCCCCGCAGTCAGTGGGATGGGTTCGTTTCCACCGAATCCCCGAAGTGGCCAAAGCACGCCCAAAATGCGACTCGCCCCCCATCGCTTTCCTTGTTCCAACGCCAGCACCCTCAATGCCAAATGCAAACGCAATTCCCCGGGTGGTCGACCGGGCAGTCTGGTTCTTCAAGCCGAGGCAGCTGCCTTCGCAGGAAGATTGCAGTCTTCCCGCAGGAAGTCGACCAGCGCTGTATCGATGGACGCGGAGAAGGCCGCGAACAACAACGCTGTCGACGTCGTTGGCGCCCCAAGGTAGCGCATGTGGGGGACAACCTCCAGCTCCGTGAGGCCCTCGACTGTTTTCAGATCCGCAATCCACTCCATGCTCTCGTGCTTGATGAGACTCAACAGCCTGAGGTCTGACACCTCAAGCTGGCGCCCGCCTTCCCACGCGTTCTCGGCAGGCTTGCCGCCGTCCACCACCACCCGCAGCTTGGGAATAATCTTGTCCAGCCTCCGCAGGTATTTGCACATGTTGGACCAATCCGACCGGTCGCTGTCCGTGAAATGCAATGGGCTCGCCTTGCGGATCGTCACCTCTCCAATCATGGCCCGCGACCGCGGTGTCAGGTCTTGGAGAAACGGCACAACCGCTTCGATGTCGCCGTCAAAGTCGAAATTGTGGAGGCCGTACAGCATGTGGCTCGTTTCGCGGTGGACCTGCTGGTTGACGGCCATGATTGCAGTATGCATCTTCGTCTTCGCCGCCAGGTGGTACGTCGTCTCGAAGCAGGTCCGTTGAAAGGATCTCTGCATCACTCGGTATTTCGACCGGTTATATGTGCCCAGGTTGCCCGCGAATAGCTGGTGCATGGCTTTGTTGCGGATCGCGAGTTTCTTTTGGCCTCCGTCGTCCAAGAGGTGCTCGTAAATCATCATGCGAATCTCGGCGGGAATCCGCATCAGCAGAGACTGTTCTTCGTCCATGTCGTGATTGGTGTTAAGGCAGACGCTCAAGACAAGTTTTGGCTCGGAGGAACAAATTGGAGAACCCTCAAACTGCAAAACAGCGATAATGGAAAGCATAAAAGGGTCGACGATGAGGGACAGAAAACGAGGGATAGCCCGGTAGGCGCTGGCTCGGAGCCATCAGCTGGTCTTATGGCATCTTTTCCCCTGCGACCTTCCTTTCCGAATTGAGTGTAACACGCTTTCCGACAGGATCCATCAAGGTGCTGATGCTGCCTCTTGGCTGAGAGACCGGTGTCCCGACTGCAGAGCCACCGCAGCAGATCCAAATCAGCGCGAATTCGAACGGCGCAAACGCCCCTTGGGCCAATGACCACTTTGCTTTCTTTCATCCTCTGCACCCTGTCGCATATCGGCCAACGACTGTGCCGCATGCAACATCCTCGAGTTCCCGACCTTGGCCTTCAAGGTCCCTGGTCCTGGGTCCACCTCCCTGCCTTCGACTCGCGGTTGGAGAAGTGCAAATCATACGCTAATACAAAAGTGCCAACCAACAAAAGCAACACGTTCGTGGAGTCGACTACTTCCACCAGAACAAACAACTGAGTCACTCGGAGCTCTGTCTTGCTTGAGCAGATGCGGCTCCACCAGAGGCGCCTGCCTGTGATTACGGCTTACTGCTAACAAGGGCGCGGATAAGCAGCCCCGGAACCACGCTCCCCTTAGCGTCTATCGTGGACGCTCAACGGTCCAACTTTCTCAACCACAACGGTCTAGCCCACCTCAGCCTGACCAGCTCAGTCTTCATTCGCTGCCCGCGCTCCGGACGGCACGCGTCCGGGGCTCCACACTGGTCAATAACGGGGGCGCCCGGACGCTCCTCCGCCTCCACACTCAGCCTCCAAGGGTTCGATACCCTCCGGCCGTTTTCGCAAGTCAGATGATACCAAGGCTGTAATCACCTCAGCACTTGTGTCAGCCTGGCTCCCTCACTGGCGAAGATCCAATCTCACCCGAGGCCCTGCGCTTATCTTGAAATTTCTCGTGGCATGCGAGTGCTGGATGCCGAGATCCATGCAGGTCTCACATGCGGAGGCGGCAGATCAGCCAGAGATAAACGACGAACAGTGCCACTCGGCAACAAGCATTGAATCATTTTCATCTTGCTTGCTGAATTATATGTGACCAACATACGATATCCAAAGGCACGAGGTTGCACGCCAGGTCGGCATTGGAGCGGCTAGGGGACATCGGTGATGTTGTGCATGAGAAACAATGCGAGCCGACACGACTCACCGTGGACCTACCGCCAGCTTCGCGCTGGCTGGCGATCAACCGCCATGATTCAAGCTTATCGTTCGATTGTTTGGTTTTTTTTTGTTGCAGTCAACCCGGTCGTCATACGGGGTGTGGATCTCCCATGAAGGCTCTGCCGCGGTTATCACCTCGGGGTCGGTCAACCGGAAGCATCGAGTCGAGTTAATCCCAAGGCAAGAAGCCTCATCATTACAACCTGCCATGAGCTCCGCTCTTTGGCCCTGACTACATGATCTTGCAGAGGGAAATCGATACCACATCCGAAAGGATGTCATTCACGCTGAACGGAAGGGCGGCATCTCTGGCCGTTGATCAAATCAGGCACAGCCTCCAGAACTTGGCCGCAACCTGAGCCAGGAGCACTACAAGCATCTTATAAACTTTCTTGGCCTTATATACCTGCTCAATCGGCCAGTATTGACGCAACGCCTTCGTCATAGGCAACAGAGACGTCGTACAAAATCAAGCAGCATTCTCCTTACTCAGCTCTAGTTCCTGGATAAGGATTGTGTTTTCTCCAACATTCTGGGAACAAGCTCTTAACGTAAGCCACACATGCGGCGCGTGAGAGTGCTCCAGAGTAGCTTCCGCAATCCCGGTCGAGACCTGCATAAGCTTACCAACCCTTCTTCTTATTGCCGGTCTGAACCAACCGCAGGAACACACAGCCTGATCGCCTATCCTCACTTCGCATCTTGGCCTCGCACTAGAGGAACCTTTTATCAACGACGGTGAAAGCCAACAAGGCTGGCCCAATTGCTCAGGTACTCAATTAAACAGCTTGTATCCTGCTCATGCGAGCCAAGAGTACCGCAACTCCCTTAGTGGATTTGCCGCAACATCATCACTACCTCAGCGAACAGGCTCAGCGGCACTTCGGGTTGATAATCATTTCAATGTTGATTAGGTTTATCCTATCTATGCGGCTATGCGGCTGATATCTCAAAGTCTCGCCCTCCTGACCGAGATGCCGACTGACACGGCTAGAGCCACGTTAATCCATCCTGCTGAACTCCGGCGCTGCATAATACACAAGACACATCACGTGCCGAATTTGACGTCGACAAAAGGAATTCGTTGAGGCGATTCGGCCTTTGAGATTCAAGATTTGGCCTCTTCATCTCAAAGGCCACCCCTCCTTCTCCCGATACAACGGTGGACCTGGCATATCGCCCTCGAGTTCCACGATACAATCCTCCTGCAGCTCTACAGGCCGCTCCATTGTCTCCATCTCCACAACAGTCGTCGAATCCAGCTGGGCGGCGTTTGGGTTGGGCGAGTGCGGCGCCACCATAGTCGCGCTACCTGTCGTAGCCGTACTAGGGGACATGAGTTCCAAGCTCGTTTTGCCAGACGTCTCAGCTTTGTGAGCCGCCACCAACGCAGGCGAGGATGAGTCCGCATGCATGTTCGGATCGGTGTTCACTCTCCTAAGCTTCCTCTTTCTTCTCCGCCAGCACAGCATAAATGCAACCAATGCAATCGCCAACGTGCCCGCCACGGAACCCACAGCGATCGCTATCGTCGTTCCGATTGAAATACCACCACCGCCGTCGCCTGAGTCGCCAGTATTCGATCCTTCCGGTGTCGTTGTCGCCGTCGCTGTCGCAATCGAACCTCCGCTCCCCGATTCCGCGGTCCCCGTAGCCGACACTGTCGCGCCGCTTACTCCGCCCGTCGATCTCGGCCCCGTGTATGTCGCACCCGGAACCGTCGGATCTGTCTCCAAAATACTTAGATCCGATGCTCGCCATCGAACCTGCACCGCATACACCAACGCCAAACGGGACGTTTGCTGGTTATTCAAGTCGTAATACGATGTCGTCGGTACTGTCGACAGACACTTGCTGTATGGATAGTCCGTCCCTGTATAGCAAGTATGTCCCGTCGGGCAACACAACCGCGCCGTCTCCCCGCTCACCACGCTGCCTCCTAGCCTGACATTCCCGTCCTTTGACGACGCCAGGGACGTCGGGAATGCGCAGCCTTCGGTGTATCCCATTGGACAAATGCCGGGGGAATAGTAGCCCCAGCTATAGTCGAACGCTTGTTTCCATGACGTGGGCATGCATACGATGCTGGACAGTGGCGGGGTCTCGGTGTTGGTCCAGTAGAGCGACTTGCAGAAGTCGGGCGTCGTGAAGACGGTCGTCAGGGGCGCCGCGCCGCGTTGTGTTGTGAGGGGATTGGGGTCTGATGTCGTCGTCATGATGGGCGATTCCTTTCGGTGTTATTATATAGGTAAGGCAAAGGTAGACGAGATTCTGGTTTCCGGCGTCGCTATGATCTCGCGAGATTCTCGCTCCCCGCAGACAAGGTAAACAATAAAAGGACAATATGGGTATCGATGTGTCGCTTCGGCGTAACGTCTTGCTTCCCCCAAAGCCCGAATTCACTCCATATCCCAAAACAAGACCACTCTCTCTTTGTCTTCGTCGACGATATCAATAACAGTCAACAGGAATCAATGTGGAAGGATGGAGTTGAATTCGGCTTGGCGATTTTCTGGTTTTGTTGTCCACCCAAGAAAGGATCCCTGGATTGCCGGTCTCCGGTGGGCGGTTTTGGGCGTCTGGACTGTTCTCTGCAGTGGGCCGCGGGCAACGTGGGCGGCCGGGAGGGACGTGATTGATATTGGGAATTTGGCGAGAATGTGTTGGCTTCGGACGGGAGATCTTCCCCAAATCGACAATTTCGTAAGATTTCGATCTTCGAAAGCTTTTCGAATGTTGTGCCCGAAAAGGTGAAGTGGTAAGGGAGAAGTGAACGGAGAGGGAAAAAGCACAGTCCAGGGTTTCCACGCAGAGAAAGAGGCAGCGCAAGCAGCAGAGTGGGAAAAGATGGATGTGGATGTGGACGGGATGGGATGAGTCTGGAAGTTTGACAATTGTCCGCAGACCGGGGAGCCAAGGGTTTCGGACGGTGCCAGTTGCGCTGAACTCTGCTTCCCACATTGGAGGCCTGCGTTGAACTTCTCTGGGTCCCTTTTTCGCCTGGGTCCTGTCTCTACTTTTTTTCCCTCTTCCTCGCTGCCCTTCGCCGCCGCGCCGCTCGATTCCTAGTCCTGGTCTAGCACGTTAACAGTGGGCAGAACTCTCTGCTCAGAAGGGGACAAGCGCTGCAAAGGGCATCAAAATTGTGGTTTGGCTGGCCGCACAAGGAAAGGCAGAGCGCGAGTCAGTATCAGGCGATCAGGGGAACGCTCCACCATGGCCCGTCATAAGTGTCGTAATAATGCAGAGGGTGTTCCCAGCAAGGTCGCTTGGCTGCTTTATCCAGCACTTTTCACAAGTCCTGCAACATTTCTGGCGAGCTCGGCTAGAGAGGTTGAACTAACGGTGTTGCCGCTAGCCGCCTAGTTTCTTGTTCTCTGTGGCCAGTTTTTCCGCGCGTGATAGTGATACCTGCCCTTTTAGCGGACGACGATGGCGTACTAAAGGCAGTTTGAACAGCAAAGCAGTGACGATCGGCTGTGAATACGAGCTTTGCGAGCGAACGAGCTTCGCTTGGTGTGCTGTTGACGTCAAGTGGCGTTTTTTGACAAGATGCTAATTAGCGCCGTTGACGGATATCGAACATTTGGGATTGTGAAAGAAGACGCGCAGAGGCCAAGGCCCGAGGGACGGACGCGCTTCTGAGGGCAGCAGCCTTCGCCTAGACAAGCCGCGGATCACGATACCAACTGGCACACCGCAGAGAGGGAGCAGTCCGATTTACCCATCTGCGGCCAATGTAACGTTAATAAAACGCTAACAAATTGGGGGAACAGGTGAACTTGCTGCCGACACCGCCCCTTGGTGGTCCCTCTCTCCCTCCCTGCGCCGGCGTGCCGGGCTGCCCGTTCCAATATATTGTTTTCCAGTCACTTATCCTGATCGGAATTTCATGATCACTCATAATCGCCGACTATCCGGCGGGACTCAGGCAAAAACTTGCTGCGCGTTCGGAAACAAGCCGCCTGCTTACTTGGATAGATGGATAAGACCCCACGGTGCGGTGCCATGTGGCCGCTGCGTGGCGTTGCAGACCCAGTTTCTCAGGGTGACATTCGCCTTTTCCAGAGTGCGGTTTCATCGTGAATTAAAGATTCTGCTCAGCCGATGGGAAGATGATACATCCTGAGAAGTTCCCACGATGCTGGATAAGCGATGCGGCCTTGGCTGGATGATGTGATATATGTTGGTTGTATTAAGGGGCTTACTGCATTCGTCTTATATGATATCAATGTAACTGCGCCTGTCGCATCGCGGGAAGGGCAAATCAAGGGCCATGCAGAGGCAAAGCATGGCGTGGAAAGGTTCACGTGGCGTTTGACCGAAGGCATGAGGTGTGTGGTGGGGACCGTCTGATTTTCTTGACAACTTTGACAGTTTTGACATCAAGAGGGAATGTGGCTGGCAATTTTGGGGGAGGGGTGATCGCCGCAACTCAATTGATGGGATGCAGGAATTCAATTGGGATAAATGCGCAGGAACTGATGACCATTGAGGCTTGTGAGCGCCGTTTGATCCCAGAGCCGCCGCGGGGCGCAGCGCGTTGGGAATCCCTGGCAGCACAGCCCGCGCCCGCCTCGTCCGACTCCGCGGACTCGGTCGGCCGGCCATCCCAACCCGCTGCGGAGGAGTTTCTGCTGCGTGCGTGACTGAAGCCGGGACAGGGACGAGATTGGGGGGACCCGGTCTCGACATGCCGACCCAGATTGACAAGTTCTGGGAAGAGGCAGCCCTACTGGGCCGAGGGCGGCGGCGCCAGTCCGACTGCCTTTCTTCACACTGATCGTGAATGTCTGAAGATGCCCGTGGAGAGATGCAGTGGACTCCTGGAAAGGGGGAGATACCGATGGGCGTAATGGAACATTGGAGCATTCAGGCATTGGAGCATTGGAGCATCAAATGAGACTATTGGATTGGGAGACGAAAGTTGCATTTTGCGGCCGGACAGATAAATCAGCAAAAAACGACTAATAGTAGAGAATGGAACTGCAAAAAGCGAAATGAGCGTCGGCCGACGGAGATGCTCAGGCAAATGCCTCGTGGGTGAATCGAACACCCGATCTCCTCATTACTAGTGAGGCGCTATACCACTTAGCCAACAAGGCGATGAGTGTTCCGAAATTTTGGCAGCTTATGTACACAGCCAAGCGAAGCTCCGAGCTCCGAGCCGGCTGCAGCTTGGCCGCGTCATCGGAATCCACGGCACACCCCGCGAGAATGCCAAGACCGTCGACAACTATGTTTCGACGTCAGTTGTTGATTCCAGCCTCCTGCTTTGCATTTTTGTCTTCACCTTGACATGTGTGCTGGTTTCGAGAGTTTACGACTTCCATCCCGAAGAGGTCGGATGAGGCCCGTCGCTCAAGGTTCACCGCGATGTCAAATCAGACGAACCTTTGCCTGTGACTTGCGAACACTCTTCCGCCAGAGTCGCCGACAACTATCTCCGCAGAACCTGTTGACAGGGCGCTTCAGTGATGGGGCATACTCCTCAGTCGTACAGAAAGCGAATATGCGAGACATTCGTACGGCAAAGACTCATCACGATCCACAAACAAACAAACATTGAAAGTTTCAACAGGAGCTTGTAATTTTATGTTCCTCGTCTTCTAATTATGCTAAACCCACCACCCCATGCCAGTCAAAGATGAAACTCCAATCATCAATCAAACGCCGGAAGATGCAAATCTCCAATGATCCTAGTATGCCGCATAAGGTCCGTAACGCCACCGCTTGCTGTTCTCCTCAACCCACCACCGCGCCACGAACGCCGCCTCCTCGGCCCACCGCGCCGCCTCGACCCCGTGCGTCTCCTCGATCTTGGCCAGGAACCCCGTGAAGTCGAACCCGAGCACCGGCTGCTTCTCCGCCGGGTCCTTGGCCACGTCCGTGAAGTGCCACTCGATGTTGTCCACCACCGGCACCACCATCCGCCAGTACTTGTGCCGTCCGTCGCGGACGCCGACCATCGCCCGCCCCGGATTGATCACGGTGAACTGCCAGTTTGCGACCTCGCCCTTGTCGGCCTCCTTGGATTGGCGCACGGGGCGTAGAAGCGACTGGCCCTCGTAGTTCCTCAACAGATCCGTCACAGCCTCGGTGCGGTCCTTCGACAGCGAGCCCGTCTCGATGAGCAGGTCGAGCACCGTCGGCAGGATCTGCTGCGCCGAGACGGCGTCGTTGATCGTGATGGGCGGCAGCTTCGGGTGCGAGAAGACGAGCGGCACGTGGTTGCTGCCAACGTTGGGGTTGTAGTACGACGCGAGAATATCGTTCTCGGGGATCGACAGCCCGTGGTCGCCCACCAGGATCACCAGCGTCTCGTCCGCGACGCCCATCTCGTCGAGCATGTTGAGGATCTTGCCGAGCCAGCGGTCGTCGTAGCCGATGGCGTTGATGTAGTGCGAGAGGTCGTCGAGCCCGCGCGCGAGCGGCACGTACGTCTCGTTCTTGGGCATGTTGTACGGGTGGTGGCTGGTGCTCGTGACGTGCGTGAGGAACACGCGCTCGTCGGCCTTCTTGGCGCTCTCGAACTGGTCGCGGATGTAGTCCTCGAGCGGCGTCTCCTCCATGCCGAAGTAGTTGACGTTGGGCAGGTCGACCTTGCCGAACTTTGCGTCGTCGCTGCGGAGGTACACGCTGTCGATGAGCCCTTCTTGCGGGAAGCCCATCTTCTTCATGAGGGCGCCGAAGTTGTCGTAATCGAGCGTCACGGACTGCATGAATGATGACTTCCACTTGTAGGATCCAAAGGGCTTCTTCTTGTCTCCGTTGCTGTCCTTCTCGAGGGTGTTAAGGGCCCCGAAGATGTGCGGGAGACACGGCTGGTAAAAGTGGTGGAGGTACTCGAGGTTGAAGTCGGCAATCAGGGGCGCGATGCCGCAAAGGCTGCCCGCGAGACTCTTGAGGGTGTACGTCGATGTCGTGTAGGCGTCGTTGAAGTTGAGTCCACCCCGGCTCTTTTCCTTCTTGTTCTTCTTCTTGTCCTCCGTCTCAAACCCATCCTCGTGGTCTCCGGTGAGGAACTTGGCTACCGGGGTCAAGGTCCTAAGCCGCTCCAGCGCATCCGGCGGAATCCCGTCGTAGCCCGCATGCACCCACGTATCTCGCAAGCGCCCTTCACTAATACCGAACCGCTTGAACGGGAACATGTCCTTCCTCGTGCTCTCCAGCACAATCGTCATAACATGCCGGATCGGCACGTCCTTGAGCTTCT